AGATCTTGGTCTTCATACCTTCGAAAAAATGGGATTTCCAACCAAATTATTAGATGCATCATCAAGTGAATCAAATTGGACTACAAAAAGTGGGTGGGTTTGAAGCCGGACAGCTTTCTTGCCTTCGTGTTTTTGTCAATTATAGTCAAGCATGGCGCCGCATGACGGACCAAAGCTCAGTGTGGATTCATTTGGGTTGCAGGGCGGTGCGCCGAGGACCTATTCAGCAACTACAGCTTACGGTGAGACCAACTTACGAATACCTCCCACTCGCCTATTGAAAACAAATGAAAGGTACTCCAACGTCAATCCCCGTTCGGTAAAAGTAGGACTACACGTGAATAAATGATGTCTAAGCACAATCGTATTGCCTTAGTTAGAAACTTTGTATAATTATAATCACAACTGGCGCTCAGTCATGTTTCACAGGTTGTCTAGAAGACAAGGTCTTATGTTTAAAAGAGTTACCGCGAATGGATGCTTTCTGAACGGAAGCTTGGCTCGCAATAAAAGATACCATGGACACGAAAAAGATGCTGATAAAATCATGACAACACCGAACTTACTTGGTCAATGGTGAACTTAGAAGTGGGATCTGGTTCTACTCCACTAGCCAACTTCACCGCCTCGATGACGCGAACGGCAGTCTCACAGGCCAAGCCATTACGTTCCATTTCATTGCGAGTTCTAGCCTCCTTAGACGTGGCCAGTTGGCCGGAACATTCAGCCACTTTTGTTGCCGGTGCCACAGCCGTTTTCCTTTTTGCTTGCCTTTCCCCGCAGCATCTTTGCGGTGAGTTCGGCCGGTACCGTAAATGTACGCTCCTTTCTTCATCAGCGTCTAGATTCACCTCTGATGGCCCGGCTGCGGAGGCCAGGGAATAGAGTGATCCTGGACTCTCGATGGAAGACACCATTTGGTTGCCAGGCTGCGTCGACGAGGCGGTGATGCAAAAGCTGGACGACTCATACGGTAGTTGTGGATGGTTGACAGAGAAGGTCTTCTCTTGTAGTTCATCGGTACCCTTTGTGTGAATTGGGGGTGAACTAAGAGGAGGATGGTGACAGGGAAACCCGGGGAGTGTTGAAACCAAGTTAGCGAATGAAGAACAACAGTAGTACGAATCTGGGTGGTTGAAAAGAGTTGGAATGATGGAGCTGGTTAAAGAATGACAAGACGAAGAGAGGTAAGATGAACAGTATACGTGCATAGCACTTTGTTTTTCAGGATCCCTTCTGTACTTCTCTACTGTTTGCCCACTTCCCATGGAAATAACTTTGTCGTCTTGTTTCTTTCCTCCCTCATCCTCATCCTCCTTGTCATAGCCACTTCCCTCATCTGATTCATCCGAATTCTCTGATTCATGTAATCCTTCTTCTTCTTCCTCTTCTTCATCTTCCTCTTCCCCTTCATCCTCTTCCTCCTCACATCCTTCTTCATCTCCAACTTCTTCTTCAGCTTGGTTTGAATATCCTTCAAGAGCGTATTGAGTTCTAATGTTAAGAGATTCAATATTCTCATTACATTGAAGAAAACGTGTATCAGACATCATCTGCCCCAAAGAGCAGATGTCGTATCCGGGTTGGTGACATAATGGAGTATGGGTCAATTCTTGAGCCCATGGGAACCAGGCCACAGGTGTCGGTTGGCTGGATCTATACATCAAATGCTCTTCTCCACCATGCGTCTGGCAGCAAGTCTGTTGGTCTCCCGAAGCTCTGGATTGTGTGACCATGCTGAAAGTATGATCCTTGGTTGTCATCGTGGGGATCGGGGTCGATACCGGTACTGTGCAACTGTTGCTAGGAGTCATGCACTGCCAATGAAATGATTTTACTGAGTCTGGACTGAAAACCTCAGGAAATGCAGTGGCTCGGTAATGTTCTCGAGGAAGCGGTGAACTCTGATGATGCGTCTCGAGCGTGGGACAGCAGCAGCTGCGGCAGTAACCATGGCTAGTATTGTCATGGTTGTCTGGTGCTAGCAGATCCCCAGTCCAGTCAGACGAGTCAGCCGAGTGATGGAGTTCAAAGGCCGACTGAACTTGGGGCCTGGTGTATACGTCCACCATTGGAGTTGGATATGGGAGAGTCAGTTGCTTAGACAAGTTTCCTCCGCGAAACGGATGCTAACCGGACTGAATGTAAGAAGGGCCTGATGTTAAGTGGGAAGATTAAATATTCTATTTTTGCGAGTAGCATGCGCAATTATGTGTATAAATGAGCATAGGGATGAGTTGATTTGAGGAGAGATGAAGCAGGCAGTTAAGAGGGAGAAACAAGACATTGGGAGAGAAGAGCGAACCAATCAGAAGACGATGCGGTCGCTCTCCCCAAAACCTCACCCTCTTCTCCTCGCATCTAACAAGCCCGACCTCGAAGTCCTTCCCTCTATATCAAGGATACTTCTTCACTCTCATGAGGCGAAATTAAAGTTCATCTTTAGACACTAAGACTCATGTGTTGAAATATCCCTGCCTCCCATTAGATAATGCAGGGAAAATATGCAAGACGTCTCGCCAATGGCGTTTCAAAGGCTGAAATTTGACGCTTTTAACATTCTGAATAGCCGAAAATGGAGGAAAATAAGTAAAAAAAATACTCATTGACCTGGCCAATTCAGAACTATGCTAAATGCCTCCTTCAGAAGATAAATATCAATGATTAGAATCGTTACTAGAAAGGCGGTCTTTAGGGGCAAAGTATGTGTGTTCCTCACGCATGACCACCCAAAGAAAATAGACATTGTTATTAGCAGGATTGGGACTATCATCTTCATTATAAAATTTCTCTCCATAGCATCAGCATGTGTCACCATGTCATACGGTGGTTCAGTTACTTGCCCTGACTTACCACCAGACGCGAGCAGTCTTAGTTCTAAACTCCTGAGCCCTCTCTACCTCCGAATGTTGGCAGGGGGGAAGGTGTCAGTTGCTATAATAGCTTGTTGAGCTTACTTCCATTTCGAGTGGAAGTGTTGAGTAAAGAGATTCGAAGGTCAGCTCCACCAGAAGACGACGGCGGATTTCTATTGACCAGCTGTCGATTGGCTTTACTGGAAGATCCATGCTGACGCTGTTTCCGAGGCAATCTCTTTCGATTCAGGTGAAAAGGTGCTAAGCTTTCGTCCGTCATGTGACGGACATCCTCAGAGCGAGGTTACATCGTCACAAACCTTGATGGCCAAAAACAGACGTCCCTTTTTGCTGTCCTAATTACTTTGAGCCATCACTTCGGGTT